AAAAGCAGTAAAAACCAGAGTAAATCCAGTGGGTTTCCCACAAGATGTAAACTGAAATCAGTGTGACTAAATTAGAGTTTGCCAAAAACATCTAAAAGAGCCTGTACAGTCTGGAACAGCATCCTATGGACGGATGAAACAAAGATTAACTTGTACCAAAATAACGGGAAGAAAAGAGTTTGGAGAAAGGAAGGAACTGCCTCATAATCCAAAGCAAACCACCTCATCTGGGGGTAGTGTTATGGCATATGTACTGGTGCCAGTGGATCTGCTTCCCTTGTATTTGCTGATGATGTGAAACCCAACAGGATGAATTCTGAAGTGCAGACACCTATAATGTTTGCTGAGATTCAGCCAAATGCTTAAATGGCACTTGACCGTGCAGATGGACAATGACCTGATGCATACTCAGAAGGCAACCCAAGACTTTTGTAAGGCAAAGAAGAGGAATGTTCTGGAAAGGCCAAGTCAATCATCTGACCTCAGTCCAATCGAGCATGCATTTCACTTGCTGAAGGTAATACTGCAAATACTGAGAGTCAAGAATGAGCAGGAACTGATGCTGACAGAGCATCATCAGGGAAGAAACCCAGCATCCTGTGTTGACTGTAGATGCCTGACTCTAGGTGGTGATTGACTGCAAAAGATTTGCAACCGAGTATTAAAAAAGACTAAATCTAATTTATGATTGTTAGTTTGTCCAGTTACTTCTGAGCCCCTAAAAATGGGGGAGTGATATACACCAATCACCGACTGTCCATTTTATCAGCTCCACTTACTATATAGGTGCACTTTGTAGTTCTACAGTTACAGACTGTAGTCCATCTGTTTCTCTGACTACTTTGTTACCCTGTTCTTCAGTGGTCAGGACCCCCATGGTCCCTCACAGAGCAGGTACGATTTCGGTGGTGGATCATTCTCAGCACTGCAGTAACACTGACGTGGTGGTGGTGTGTTAGTGTGTGTTGCGCTGGTCTGAGTGGATCAGACACAGCAGTGCTGCTAGAGTTTTTAAACACTGTGTCCACTCACTGTCCACTCTATTAGACACCCCTACCTTGTCAGTCCACCTTGTAGATGTAAAGTCAGAGACGATAGCTCATCTGCTGCTGCACAGTTTGTGTTGGTCACCCTCTAGTCCTTCACCAGTGGTCACATTTGCACTCATAATTAAACATGTAATTGTGTGCAATTAAATTACATGTTAATAGCAAATCAAAAAGAAAGCAATTACTCTTAATTTCTCAGTGATGAGTGATATTAATTTGCATATTCATATATTTAAATAATCTAGCCTGTATTTGCCTCCTCAAGCTATGTCCTTTAGCTTGGGGGACTAAAGCTTATATAATAAGATGGTGATAATTTCTCCTTGACATTTATTGTCTGGTTTTATGCCGTACCAAACCCCTCTGGTTTAGCTTCCCTCTGATGCGAGTGTTCTTTCTTTTGCCCCCTTTGCTCTCCATCAAGGCTTTATTTGTTTTGGTGTGAATGGCTGAACAACAGTGTCACGGTGTCAAGTGAGTGAAAGTCGCTGCTGAAAGCCGTTGCTCTCTCGAGTAGTTTATGGCCCGTTTGACTCGGGCCAACTTTGTAAACTCTTTCTCTCTCACTCTTTCTCACTGTCCTTCCTACTTTCTTCCTCCTCTCATTCTCTCCCTGTATTTGGAGGAGTGTTTCTTGGCAGCGAACTTTGTGCTGGGTTGCCAGTTGCTCTCTGTCACCCGCTTAAATCCCAGTGATTTATGTCTGGCCGTACAATGGTGTCTTTGGGCCCGGACCCACACAAGGTCACCTCCCGAGGCTGCAGGAACCCCTTTCTGAGCTTTGATTAGAGTGGGATTTTCTCATTCCCATCGGTTGTCCCGGATATCTCATCCACAGCGCGTTAGAGACTTTAGAACTTTAACACCGGTCTGTAAAGGAGAGAGTGAGAGATATATAGAGTTGTTCAGGGGCCCTAACCTCATTACTGCAACTCACGAGGCCAGTTTACGCCAAGACTGAGTCCCAGGACAGAGACCAGTTCATGGCATAAGAAGAGGAAGGGGTGGGGTGGTGGGGGGTGGTGGTATTGGCACAGGCCTTCAGAATTAAGGGTGATCGTGGGAGTTAAGTAAACTGGTTTGAAAGTTGAACCTTTAAATTAAAAGCTTATAATTATTGAGTTATTATTCATAACACTATATGTTATTCAGGTACTACTATGAATTGTTCAGTAACTACTATGAATTGTTTAGTATCTACTATGAATTATTCAGTAAATACTATGAATTATTCTGTAAATACTATGAATTATTCAGTGTCTACTATGAATTATTCAGTGTCTACTATGAATTATTCAGTAGCTGCTATGAATTATTCAGTAGCAGCAATGAAATATTCAGTAGCTACTATAATTTATTCAGTAGCTACTATGAATTATTGAGTAAATACTATGAATTATTCAGTAAATACTATGAATTATTCAGTGTCTACTATGAATTATTCAGTAAATACTATGAATTATTCAGTGTCTACTATGAATTATTCAGTAGCAGCAATGAAATATTCAGTAGCTACTATGAATTATTCAGTGTCTACTATGAATTATTCAGTGTCTGCAATGAAATATTCAGTATCTACTATGAATTATTTAATGTCTACTATGAATTATTCAGTAGCTGCTATGAAATATTCAGTAGCTACTATGAATTATTCAATATCTACTATGAATTATTCAGTAGCTGCTATGAATTATTCAATATCTACTATGAATTATTCAGTAGCTGCTATGAAATATTCAGTACCTACTATGAATTATTAGTGTCTCATTGCCTCTTAGAGTTACAGGGTAGTGGTTGAAATCTTCCTCTCTGAAATGGGACCCTCAAATAAAAAGAGCATCACTTCATTAACAGCTACTAGCGCTGCTCTGTAGGCGACCCTGCCAGTCTGCAGTGACAGCAGAGGAGGGTAAAGTTCAGCTCCTCACTGCTGGGCTTTAGTTACATTTAGGGCATCATATGACTTCAAAGAGGGGCCATCTTGCCAGTTTGTCTGTTATATATACTGTTATAACAGTGTGCCTCTGAAAAACCTCCGTTTGGAGGGCCATGTAGCCCTAACACTTCACCCAACCCCTCTATCTCAACAAAAATCGGGACACCCTACCCCTAGACGTGAACATGCAAAACGAAGGGCTAAGGGTTAAGTGGTAGGGGAGGGGGTGAAATGGGATTAGGCCTTTACCTTCACTTGGAATAGGTCCTTTGCTAACAAGGTTAACCATTAAAGGGCACAGACCGACTTAGATATCTGGTATTTACTTCAGTTCGACTTATTTTCTTAGCATCTTTATTGAAAAATAATTTATGAAAAATGGTAACTTTACAGGAGAAGGAAAAAACCTACTTTACTTTTAATGTAATGAACGGAACCAGAATTTTTCCCAAGTCATTTTGGGCCGTTTCTTTTGGTCCATTCATCATGAAATTTACACACAATATAAAGGGCAACAGGCATTTTCAAATTATGTCCAAAACTGAAAAACAACAAAAATGGAGATACAAGGTTTTCTTCCGACAACAGTGATATTCAAATATTTGACAAACAATCAAGTGAAAAAATGGAATTTAATTTCTGAGCCAAACTGACAGCCCCGCTAACTAACGTGTAAGTTCTTTAGTTAAGAGAGTAAGGAACTGGAGGGTGGCACACATAGGGAGTCTAACAGGAAAGGAGAAATGCTGGTGTTAGGTTTTTTTTGCCAAACTACCACTTTAACAAGGTGTGACAAAAGAGGAGAGAGAGAGAGAGAGAGAGAGAGAGAGAGAGAGAGAGAGAGAGAGAGGGAGAGAAAGGGAGAGAGAGAGAGAGAGAGAGAGAGAGAAAGAGAGAGAGAGAAAGGGAGAGAGAGAAAGAGAGAGAGAGAGAGGGAGAGAGAGAGAGAGAGAGAGGGTGGGGGTCAGAATAAGAAGTCGCTCGCTCCAGGCCTTTCAGTCCTTTGAGATGAAAATATTGTGTTCGTTGGGAGAAAAGTATGTGGTATCAAAGAACTGATGGCTAGTTAACTAAAAAGCACAACATATCATCAAAGAGCGTTTCATGATCAGTTGAGCGGTCCAACAGATGGAGAGAAGGAGTGAGAGGGCGTGGACTAAAGAAAGAGAGGAGAGGCCAGACACTGTTAAAAGAGAGAGAAAGAGAGAGAGGGATTAAGAGATAATGGGACAGTGCGAGAGGGAGGGAGGGAGGTAGGGAGAGAGAGAGAGAGAGAGAGAGAGAGAGAGAGAGAGAGAGAGAGAGAGAGACAGTGATAAAAAGAGATTTGGGACACTTAAAAGAGAGAATAAGTAAGTGAGAGAGGTAGATAGAGAGAATGTACAGGAGCGAGCAAGTGAGATAAAAAGATGAGAGAAGAGGGAGAAAGAGATTGAAAGTGTGGGTGAAAGAATGTGAGACAGAGAAAGAGAGATACAGAGGGAGAATTTGGGAGAGTTATGTGAGAGTCGTATGAGAGAATGTATGGGAGAGAGAGACATAGGGAGCATATAACAAAAAGAGAGATAGGAGAGAGAGATAGGAGAGAGAGATAGAGAGAAAGTGTGAGTGAGAACATGTGTTAGAGAAAGAGAGAGAGAGAGAGATGGGAGAGAGATAGAGAGGAAGTGTGAGTGAGAATATGAGAGAGAGAGAGAGAGAGAGAGAGAGAGATAGGATGAATATAAAGAAAGTGTGAGTGAGAGAGAGAGAGAGAGAGCGAGAGAGAGAGAGAGATAAGACAGATAGAGAGGAAGTGTGAGTGAGAACATGTGTTAGAGAGAGAGAGGGAGAGAGAGAGAGAGAGAGAGAGAGAGAGAGAGTGAGTGAAAGTGAGGGAGTCTTGCTGTATTGTGTCCCGTCTGAATACGGCCCTTTATGAGGAGAAGCTTAAAAGGACATTGTGGCTGGGGCGAGCCGCCGTCGCCACGGCAACAGCCCAGGAGCGCGCAAAAACCAGAGATAATGGAGTGAGAGAGAAAGGAGGAGAGGAGTTTCTTCTCCCCGCGCCGCTTCCTTCACGGAATTCCCTCCATCTCTCGGCTCAGAGGACAAACAGAGAGAGGGAGAGGAAGAGAGAGAGAGAGCGTGTGGCGTTGGCGCTTAGGCAAATATCTAGAAGGAACTTCAGCGGATAAACTTTCTAGAGAGTCTGTTTGTATGAAGGAAGCGAAAGAAGGATATATGCAGAGATGTTCTCTAAAGGATCAGTGTCGGCCCGTGACTCCTTTGTGTTTATCTCCTCAGAGGCTGCCTCAGTAAACCATGCTGCTGCTCCCGACACCACAAGCCCGGAGATAATGCAATGCTTAACGGTGAGTGATGACTTTTTACCTACTTATTTACCTGTTGTTCGTACACAGTAATGTGCAGGGATGTTAAACCAGCTGAGAAAGTGATGTTTAGTGCCAGTTATCGGGGTTGTAAGTGTTTGTTTGCTTGAAAAAACACTAACTTTAGAATAATTACAAATACACTCTCAGAAATAAAGGTACAGAACTGTCACTGGGGCAGTTCCCCTCTGGTCACTGGGGTGGAACCCTCAAGGGTACATCTCAGTACCTTCAGTCAGGGAACATAACTGTACTATAATCCACTGAAATGATATGTTCTAAGCTGTACTGACTCCACACACCCCGTCTCGTCTCCAGGACTTTATTTTATTGCTCTGTTTTATAACATTTGGGTATGAAAAGGTACAAATATGAACTTTTCCACTGGGAAAAACTTATTAAAGGAGCACAGTTGGACCTTAAAACCACTGTTGTACCTTTGAGGGAACATTTACATTGTTTGTACCTTGAAGAACAAAAAATGTACCTGCACAGAACCTTTATTTCTAACAGTGTAGATATAAATATTAACCCTGCTTACCATTAAACCCACGCTTCAGTTTCCCGCTCTGATAATTACCTTACTTAACTTACGTACTAGTTACTTAACAGTAAGTGTTAAGATTAATAACTGAATTCTAGGCTCAGAGTTTACGGAGTCACTAAGTAAGTCTTAGAATGTGGGCATCCGTGATGTTTAAGGATTTAATAATCTGCACAGAAAACATTAACATTGGAGTAAATACGAATGAGTAAAAATATTAATACGATACATCGTGACTTAGTGTTTGTCGGTATGTTAGCTTGACTATTCCCAAAACTCTATTCTTCTCAGCTCTCAAAAGTGTTTACACTTACAATCCAATACCTAGTTTGGCTGATAATTCCTCATTAAATTAAATCGCTTGTGCTGCTGATGGAATTGAGCAAATCCTTGCTGGAGTGCGCTGATCAGAATCTCTCTGTTAATGTATTTGTATTTATTCTAATAATAAATAGTGTTTTTATAAGCAAAAGCACACGAACTGCTCAGATAGTTTTGATTTTCCCAGGTGTCCTAATGCACGGTAGCATGTGTGTATATGTGTGTGTGTGTGCATATACAGTCGTATGAAAGCCTATTCAAATAAAAAATATGTTGAATTGATTTTCCAAGTGAAAATATCTTCTACAGGGTTAAATATGACATTTTAAATGTGCCATTTCTGCAAGGTTTAGTGTACGATTTCTTTTTATTTTAACATATTTGATAAAAGCAAACAATAAAATGTGTCTTAACTTTTGCGCAGGCCACTTTTTTTTCTATATGTTACTTTCAGCAAATAAACAGTAATTGGGTATTAAAATGTTCAGGTGTTTACTTTGTTGAACGGGGTGCCCAAACTTATGTCTACATACACATGAGATAGTGGATGAAGTGTGATGGCGAAAGTTTTGCATGTGTGTACACCGATCAGGCATAACATAATGACCACCTCCTTGTTTCTACGCTCATTGTCCATTTTATCAGCTCCACTTACTATATAGGTGCACTTTGTAGTTCTACAGTTACAGACTGTAGTCCATCTGTTTCTCTGTATACTTTGTTAGCCCCCTTTTACCCTGTTCTTCAGTGCTCAGGACCCCCATGGACCCTCACAGAGCAGGTACTATTTGGGTGGTGGATCATTCTCAGCACTGCAGTAACACTGACGTGGTGGTGGTGTGTTAGTGTGTGTTGTGCTGGTCTGAGTGGATCAGACACAGCAGTGCTGCTGGAGTTTTTAAACACCTCAGTGTCACTGCTGGACTGAGAATAGTCCACCATCCAAAAATATCCAGCCAATAGCGTCCTGTGGGCAGCGTCCTGTGGGCAGCGTCCTGTGACCACCAATGAAGGACTAGAGGATGACCAACACAGACTGTGCAGCAGCAGATGAGCTATCGTCTCTGACTTTACATCTACAAGGTGGACCGACAAGGTAGGTGTGTCTAATAGAGTGGACAGTGAGTGGACACAGTGTTTAAAAACTCCAGCAACACTGCTGTGTCTGATCCACTCATACCAGCGCAACACACACTAACACACCATCACCATGTCAGTGTTACTGCAGTGCTGAGAATGATCCACCACCCAAACAGTACCTGCTCTGTGAGGGTCCATGGGGGTCCTGACCACTGAAGAACAGGGTAAAAGGGGGCTAACAAAGTATACAGAGAAACAGATGGACTACAGTCTGTAACTGTAGAACTACAAAGTGCACCTATATAGTAAGTGGAGCTGATAAAATGGACAATGAGCGTAGAAACAAGGAGGTGGTCAGAATGTTATGCCTGATCGGTGTATGTCTGTGTTGTTGGGCGTGGCCCAATGTGTCATATGCATCAGTGAGAGGAAGTTTTACTGAGTTTCGCACTGTGGTTATTAAAAATGCAGTGATTATCTTTTCGTATGCATCAGCTTGAGTGAATGTGTTCTAAATGAACTTAAATTTAAAGCAAGCTTAAGTGATTCTTTTGCACTTTAGTTATACCCAACACGAACACTTCCTCTGATACAAGTACAGTTTGTTGTGCTTTTCAGTACCACCTGCATGGTTTTGTCCGCTTAACAGCTGGGGGGATCGAGACATATGAGCCAGCTGACTGTAAAGTGTGAACCTGGGGCTCAAACCTGGACCATACAATCAGTTTTCTCCTCCCTTATCACATTTTCATACAACCAAAACAGGTTTACATAATATATTATAGCACTGAGGGAGGGGCTACCCAGAATGCTTTGTGCTTTTGGTTTCTGATTATCACCTGCTACTTGTTTTTGTGTTATAACATGTAATTCTCATGCTAAAGGAGATTTCGAAGCGTTTGGTATGTGTTAGTATTACTTACCTTGATGGCGTATGGATTTACCAGTTCAGCCCGTATGGCGTAGAGCTGTGGTCAACACTGTTCCTGGAGATCTACATTCCCACAGACCTTAACTTCAAAACTAATCAACCCCACTCGATCCATCTTATTGTTGCCTTCAGGAGTCCTTAATTAGCTGAATGAGGTGTGTTAAGGCAGGTTGGAGGAGGGTTGGTGACCACTGGCATAGAGAGTGCCTCATTATCAAGCTGCCGAGTGGCATAGCTATTGTTCGTCTCATCTACAGGAGATTGCAAAATGAAATCCCAGAGATGCCATGACCAATAAAAGAGCTGCTAATTATCAATGCTTTATTGGCCGATATTATTGGCCAGCTGATCGGTCGTTTGAGCCCTGCTATACACACAATTCAGTAATTGAGATACACTTTTGAGAAAAAAAGTTACTTTGATGGGTAAAGTATTTTGTGAAGAATGTCAAAAATATCTTAAGATTGCTGTGAAAATGTGTAGATCAGAAAAATATGCTCTGGGAATATGAGAAGCTGGGAAGTAACACATACTACGTGAAGCTTTTTAACTGCATTAAAAGTCTGTGTTACATTTTAGGTTAAAGCCTGTGCTCCTCAACTTCTAAAACATGGACATAAATATAAAAAAATACACTGGTTTTAAAATGTTGCACTAGTGGTGCATTGTGTCTGGTGGGAAATATCATGATTCATGTTGTGTACTGGCCCTGCGATGGACTGGCGACCTGTCCAGGGTGTATCCTGCCTTCCGCCCAATGACAGCTGGGATAGGCTCCAGCACCCCACCGCGACCCAGAAGGATAAGTGGTTTAGATGATGGATGGATGGATGGATGTTGTGTACTGTGAAAACCTGTTTAAGGATTGTGATACACAGTACTGTACATAAGTCCTAAGGCCACTGCACACCAGGCATGCTGCTTCGCATTACACAGTATCCAAAAAAAGTGAAACCATTGTTTTTAAGGAAGGAAAGCACACCGGCGCCCACATTCGAAGTCAATATATGGCAGCGCTCAATGTCTTTGAATGCCTCTGCCTTCTACACTGTAGACTGAGGTTCAATCCCCTGCCTGGGCAAAAACCCTACACTATACCAATAAGAGTCCTTGGGCAAGACTCCCAACACTACCTTCACCTACCTGTGTAAAATGATCAAGTTGTGAGCTGCTCTGGATAAGAGTGTCTGCCAAATGCCGTAAATATAAATGTTCACTTTCTCTCAGCATTTTGCCGTTGCTACATTAAACTAAAGCCATATTGAAACCACAGAAAGCCACGATAGATGACATGTGGCTTGAAATTTACTCAGAGGAAGGCAATCTTTTAGATAAACAGACAAATGCTAATGAGCGAGTTTACATGCACTTAATAATCCGATAACCACAGAAAATCAGATTTTGTCAGTAATTCATTGAACTCGTTTACATGCACTGGGTAATATGATAATGTGAAAACTCTACTGGAGCCAGGCAGTAATTGGATTTCTGCTTTGTAACCCACCATTAAACTGGTAGACGTGACGTAAACGTAATGTAAAACTCAGACGTCATGCTGCGGCCAGTCACTTTAGCAGGAAATTTGAATTTCTCACGCTACTCTCCTCTACATTACACATTGCAATGCATAAGAGCCTCTGCTTAAAATGTAAATGTCATGTTTACATACATACATCGGTCAGCCATAGCGTTAAAAACACCTCCTTGTTTCTACGCTCATTGTCCATTTTATCAACTCCACTTACCATATAAGAGCACTTTGTAGTTCTACAGTTACAGACTGTAGTCCATCTGTTTCTCTGCATACTTTGTTAGCCCTCTTGGTCAGGACCCCCATGGACCCTCAGTGGTCAGGACCCCCATGGACCCTCGCAGAGCAGGTACTCTTTGGGTGGTGGATCATTCTCAGCACTGCAGTAACACTGACGTGGTGGTGGTGTGTTAGTGTGTGTTGCGCTGGTCTGAGTGGATCAGACACAGCAGTGCTGTTGGAGTTTTTAAACACCTCAGTGTTGCTGCTGGACTGAGAACCAAAAATATCCAGCCAACAGCGTCCTGTGGGCAGCATCCTATGACCACTGATGAAGGACCAGAGGATGACCAACA